TAAACTACCTCTTCCAAAACTGTGAAGCCCTTCAAAACAGTGCTCCGTAAGGCCCATCATCACTACTACTCCGCGGGAGTCGGTAGTATCTCTCACTAAATACGCGGTATCTTTCCTTGTGCGTTTCCTGTGCCGTATTGTCAAGCTCAGCTGGCTCGAGGGACCTCAACATCAGACTATTGTCAGCGATGTAGGCAGAGTTGGGAGAAGGATGGTATTGAGTTACATGATACACATGATTTAGGTACAGAAGTTCCTATCAGCATCAACTCTACATTGGATCCTCGGCCTTGACATCTACGTCCAGCTAACATCCGATATGCAGCCTACTGTTGGTCCTGGGATGTCACGCTTTAGACGTAATAACAAGGAGAGCGCGACAGATTGTTGTGATTATCGCAAGGTCGGGTATCATTATTTCTATTGTGGAAAAATACTCTACTATTATCTGTTTGTAATGGAATTCTGTTGAAGAGGAGTTCGGGAGGCATGGCTATGTTCTAGGTACGGCACTTTCCTTCCGAGACATAGCCCTGCCACAGATCTTCACAACAGCAGTTGATATCCTCACGCAAATGTATGAGGGGAAGTTGGCGATCAACGACAAGACGGAAGAATTCAAATTGGTTAAGAAGGTAATAAGTTGAGGCAGGAGTGGTATGGATGGCAATAATAATATATTATTAATACAGGTATTGCAGCTGGCCTATAACTGCTTGAGTTTTGACTTCATGGGTAAGTTTGGACCTAATCTGTATCTTTTAGGGGGTAACCTCGTCAATGTATTTATGACGATATTGCAGTGTAGTAAAGGGGGTTGCTATTTATGGGTGTAGGCACGATCCCTGACGAGACGTCGGAGGACCAGACGACAGTTATGGTGCCACATAACTGGACAGTGTTGAAGGATAGTGTGATACCAAAGTTGTAAGAAGTGTGGTAGGAGTGTTGTGGAGGGGAGGGTGTATTTCAGGTTCTTCCAGTTGTATGATAGTAGCTGCAAGAGCGGCTGGAAGGACTGCGCGATGTAGTGCTGTTGGGGGAATTTTGTGGCGCGTGACGTTAGATATGTGTGAATAAAACGCACCATCGAGTTGATAGGTGTCCACGATTATTCATCGCGTTGGATAGTAAATATTG